GGCAATGTGCAAGTGCACAATTATCCGGCTCTTCTCCATGACTCGAACTTGACCAGGGTTATATCTCCTTCATTTGATAGACTTTCCTTGAATTCTACGTGATTGTAATTTTATTCAGCAAATTCGCTTGCTTCGCTTTCAAAGTTTTCATTCAACTAATTTTACAAACGGCGCGCATGTCATGTGATTTCCCACTGATTGTTGTTTTTGTCATATCGACTTCCGGTCGTTTACCATCTCATATCTAACGCGCGCTCATGGAATAATAGTTAATTAACTCAAATGTGGGGTATTTAACACATGAGCAGCGAAAAGTGGTTGATTGCTTAAAGTCAGTTAGGAACAAACTTTTTTTATTACAAATCTCTTCAAAGTGATAATACAAAAATACATTCCCAATAAGGTTAATACCACACTACTGTACCAAAAACGCCCTGGTTCACTTATTGGACAAGATACAAGTTATATACAGGTTCTGTTATCCCTTCTCTGTTCTTCATTCATTAATAAAATCCTGACTGCACCAAGCCTATCACCAATTTTATGATCCTAGAGCGGTTTTCAATCGAGTGTCGTAAAACCAAAGCCAAACCAATTACTTACCAATTAAACTACTCAGCCAATCTCAAACCATAGCAAAACCAAAACCAAAGTAATTGCCTGATTACTTTCGACGCTCAATTGAAAACCGCTCTAATATGCTATCGGTTCATCTTTCTGTAATTAAAAATCAAATAGTTACACTTGCTTTATGTGATAGTTGCTACACTTCTGCACTCATACCAAAATGATTTCTGACTGTTATAAGTGGATTGAAATAGTTGATAAAATCTTGCTTCAGAGCTTGCTTAATGATACTAATGATATCAAATAATGGTAATGGTATTTACCAATAATTTGACTTCAAACCCGAACAATATCGTTGTACGTAGAGAAGTTTTTAAGTTTTCTGATGGCTTTTGAAAGCAATTTTARTTTTTATACTTGTAGTAATTTACAATGGGCTCAAAGAAGCCAAGAAAATTGTGTGAACCAATCAGAGCCCAAATATGGTTTCATTGGCCAATCAAGCGCGAAACCAGCACTCCTTGCCACTTTTGCCACCAGTCAATGATTTTTGCAGTTAAGGGTTTATTACACTATTTCCTAACACGTTTA